ATACCACACACTCGAGTGTGTAGAAGAATTTAAAAAGCAGAATAGGCTGAGCACAGTGGCTTATGCCTGTAATCCTAGCACTTTAGGAGGCCCAGGTGGGAGGATTGGTTGAGGCCAGGAGTTCGAGACCAGCCTGGGCAACATAGTGAGACCCTGTCTCTAAAATAAATAAATAAATAAATAAAATAAAAACAAAAATAGTTGGGCATGGTGACACATGCCTGTAGTCCTAGCTGCTTGAGAGGCTGAAGCAGGAGGACTACTTGAGCCCAACAGTTCCAGGCTGTAGTGAGCTATGATTATACCACTGCACTCCAGCCTACACCCTGTCTCTAAAAAAAAAAGCATAGTTGATATGCTAAGACAGTAGAAAAAAATGGAATCATATAAAATGCATAATTAAAACTAAAGAAGTCAGAAAAATAATTGAAGATTTAAAACAAGAAACAAAGAGCTGGGCATAGTGGTGTATGCCTGTAGTCTCAGCTACTCTGGAGGCTGAAGCAGGAGGATCACTTAAGTCCAGGAGTTTGAGGCCAGCCTGGACAATATAGTGAGATCCCAATCTCTGAAAAAAAGAAAAAAGAAAGATACAAAGAATAAGGGCAATGAATGGAAAAAAAGTAACAAACATGCTAGCTACTAATCCAACTACATCAATAATCACATTGGAGCAAAAAGAAATCAAGAATTAAGTTTAATTTTTGATGTTTAAGTTGATGTTCAAAGCACTTTGTTAATCCTGTATGCCTCTCAGTTCCAACAGGTTGCATTACACATGGTAAGTGGCCACAATAAATACTTATTAGACAAATGATTTATTAAATTGATGAAAAGTACTTATGATCTTATAAAAGACACAAGCATAGAAATAGCTCACAATACCTGCTGCAGCAGTGTAGAGGGGGAGAAAACTGCTTGGGTCAGGAAGGTTTAAAATAGTAAGAAGATGTATATAATTCATTGGAGAGAGCTTGAAGGGAACATTTTCAATAGGGGAAATACTGTGGATACCTTGAATATCCCTCTCTTCTCTTTGAGGGTGGGCCATACTTAGTGATTTGCCTCATAAGAACAGAATAGAGAAAGGGAAAAATATTAATTTTAAAGTGGTTTTTCAGTGGAGAAACGTGACAAACACTACATTTATCAAATGCTGAAAGATAACATTATGAGATATCATTTACCCTCTACTATGATGTGATAAGAAGGCCATTTCACCTCTTTAGTATCTCTCCAAAACCCATAACTTCCATCTAAGCATGATAAAAACACAAAACCAACCCAGATTCAGTAACAGTCTATAGTAGGGGTCCCCAAACTATGGTGAATTGTATAATTATTTCATTATATATTATAATAGGAATAAAGTACACAATAAATGTAATGTGCTTGAATCATCCCAAAATTATCCCTCCTTCCCTGGTCCATGGAAAAATTGTCTTCCATAAAACCAGTCCCTGGTGCCGAAAAGGTTGGGGACCGCTGGTCTACAGGATATGTGGTCAGCACTCCTCAAGACTATTAAGGTCATAAAAAACAAGGAAAAACTGAGAAACTGTCACAGACCAGAGATTAGGGAGTCATGACAACTAAATTAAATGTGGTATTCTGGTGTGCAGAAAAGAATTAACATTGCAGGCCTGAACTGCTATCCTTAGAATGGCTTGCCTCCAAGGTTGACCCTTGGCTGGTATCTGGAAACTTAGATTTTGAGACAATTTCCATCATTCCCTAGTAAGAATGACTCACTGCTCACACAAACAATGTGGTTTATGTTGAACAAGTATGAAAATTTTGGTATGTGTTAGGTCAAGGGTGCCTGCATGACCAGCCTCAAATAAAAACCCTGGGCATTGAGTCCGCAATGAACTTCCCTGGTAGACATTTCACATGTGCTGTTACAACTTGTTGCTGGGAGAATTATGTACGTCCTGTGTGACTCCACTGGGAGAGGAATCTTAGAAGCTTGCACCTGGTTTCCCCCAGACTTCACCCCATCTGCCTTTTCCCTTTGATGATTTGGCTTTGTATGTTTTATTGAAAAAATTCATACCCATGAGTACAACTATATGCTGAGTTCTGTGAGCCCTGTAGCAAACCATCAAACCTAGGAGTGGTCTTGGGACCTCTGCCTAACCTGGATTGGATCCTGGAAAAGAAAGAGGACATTAACACAAATGTTGGTGAAATCCAAATAAAGCCTGGAATTTAGTTAATAGCAATAAACCAATGTCAGTTTCTTAGTTTAGGCAAATATACCATGGAAATGTAAGATGTTAACAATGGGAGAAACTGGGTGAGGGATAAATGAGAATTCTGTGCTATCTTTGTAATTTTTTCATAAATCAAAAATTATTACAAAATGAAAACTTTATTAAAAATAAAATTCAGAGGCTGGGCGTGGTAGCTCACACCTGTAATCCTAGCACTCTGGGAGGCCAAGGCGGGAGGATCATTTGAGCTCAAGAGTTCAAGACCAGCCTGAGCAGAGCGAGAACCTATCTCTACTGAAAAAATAGAAAGAAATTAGCTGGACAACTAAAAATATATAGCAAAAATTAGTTGGGCATGGTGGCGCATGCCTGTAGTTCCGGCTACTCAGGAGGGTGAGGCAGGAGGATCGCTTGAGCCCAGGAGTTTGAGGTTGCTGTGAGCCAGGCCGATGCCACGGCACTCTAGCCTGGGCAACAGAGTGAGACTCTGTCTCAAAATAAAATAAAATAAAATATATAAAAAAATAAAAGTCAAACCAAATGCTTTGGAAATTCATGAAAAATCATATACCATTCATTTTGGGGGGGACGTGGTGCCGATCCCAAAGTTGTGGATGTCTACGGCAACACTGCTCTCCACTATGCTGTGTTTAATGGTGATTTATCAACAGCAGCAAAACTACGTTCTCATGGTGCCACTATGGAAACAACAAACAAGAATCAACTCACACCACTTTTACTTGCTCTGAGAGAAAGAAAAGTGGAAGTGGCGGAATTTTTAATACAGGAAAAAGCAAATGTAAATGTAGTTGACGGCATGCAGAGAATACCACTTATGCTTGCTATACATTGTGGATCATCAAGTATAGTCAGTCTTATTCTCCAGCAAAATATTGATATCTTTGCTAAAGATTACTTTGACCAGACTGCAGAAGATTATACTGTAACTACTGGTTATTATATGCTTCATGAGCAAATTTTGGAATATAAAGAAAAAATGAAACCTACAAATCCTCCTCAAAATAGCAATTCAGTGAATGTGATTACTGAAGACCCTAGAATCAGGCTTTCCAGCACTCTGGATTTTGATGATGATTTATGGCATACACCAGATGTTGAAGACTTCAATTCTGATACCAAGCAAAGGACTTAGGACCCTAAGGAACAGAGGAGCAATGAGTTGGAAGGTGTCTGGTTGCCGGATTCACTATGTGGAAGAGAGCCATTCGGGACAGCTGGCTACCAAAAACCCACGTGTTCCATGATTGTACGATGAAAATAAATACTTGTGTTAATTCATTGAAAAAAGAAAAAAAAAAACAACAAAAAACAGGGGATGCTGATACTTTTTTTTTTTGAGGTCTTAAAAAGATTTGTTTTTACTTCTACATATATACTCAAGAGAATGGAAAACACATCTACACAGAAGGTTGTAAATACACATTCACAGCAGCTATATTCATAATAGCTGAAGTTTAGAAACAACAAAAATGTGGTTTTATCCATACAATGGAGTATTATTCAGCCATAAAAAGAAGTGCTAATACACGCCACTGAATGCATGAAACTGGAAAATGTTATGCTAACTGAAAGAAGCCAGTCACAAAAGGCCATATGTTAACATTTCATGATTCTTTGTAAGGAATGTCCGGAATGGGCAGATCCAGAGGCAGGGAGTGGATCAGTGGGGCCCAGCGGGGAGAAAAGGGAATGCTGACACCACCAGTGTCATACCTTTTTTTTCCAGTTCATATATGTTATTTATAATATTTATGGTATTTATATCCATTCACATTCATTCTAACATTTGTTAATTCATCATATATTTCATATAGTTATAATCACTGATCACACTATGATTTTGTTTTCCTTATTTACCTCATTTACTTATCATTTTGCAGACATATTTCCCATCCCGCAGTCCCCAACGCTTTTGGCACCAGGGACTGCTTTCATGAAAGACAACTTTTCCACGGACTGGGGGCTGCACGGGAGGGTGTTGGTGTTCTGGGTGGTAGGGTCATGGTGCAGAGCTCAGGCAGTGATGTCTGGCACATTTCCTAATGGGCCATAGACTGGTACTGCAGCACAGATGTACACCACTTTTGAGTTCTAGAATTCTATCATCTTGGCATTTTGTAGTCTGATTAGCTAATTTAATATCTTAGGTCTTTGGATTATTGGATTACTTCCATTCTCCCCCCCCTTATACAATTAGAAATGTGGTGGTGGGAGAGAGAGAGAGAGAGAGAGAGAGAGAGAGAGCACAAGCAAGTGAGCTATAACCAGAGAGAATGTGGTAAAAAACAATCAGATTCAGAACTTGATTGTGAGAGTAGCAAAATTTAAAAGAAGGGTGAATTCATAACCCACAGTGTGTCTCTTACACTAATGTCAGGGCCCTGATGTGAAAAAAATGAAACACTGAAGCCCAGGATGAAGATATCTGGGTAGATACCCTAGAGCAGCGGGGAGTCCCCAACTTTTTTGGCACCCAGGGACTGTTTTCACGGAAGAAAATTTTTCCATGGACTGGAGTAGGGAGGATGGTTTCAGGGTGATTCGATCACATTACATTTTTTGTGTACTTTATTTCTATTATTATTACATTGTAATATATAATGAAATAATTATACAACTCACCATAGGCTGGGGACCCTTACCCTAGGGAACTTTAAGCTGATAAATTTACCTCAACACTCTGGACCGACAGCAGTGGTGCACTCCCCCTTGCCAGCGGATAGTGGCTTTCCTTTGCCTGAAGACAATGTAGAAGTCTCTCACCTGAGGAGGATGCCTTCCAAGATGCTATTTCCTCTTCTCAGGATTTGCCACAGTCCTCTTCAGTGTTTCTAAACCAATAATTAGGGCCAAGTTTCATCATGGCCTATTTCAGGAAGCACTGTCCCTATTTTGGAATAAAAAGGGTTATTCACCAAATATGTACTGGCAGAACTGGAAGAACATACCAGGGGATGGATCTTGGGGTAAGTGTGGGGTAAGTGATCCAAAGTAAAGATATAAATTTGTTGACTGTAAACCCAATGACCCCGAAAACCCTAAAAAGATGAATGAACTGAAATGGATAATTTTGAGCTCCTCTCATTAGGGAGACAGGGGCTCAAAAGAGGTTATATAAAGAAAAATGAAAAAAGTTGCATTTCTTTGCACACCAGAATTTGTAGGCTACCACTGAAACATCTTTTAATTGGCCAGTTACTTCACTAGATGAAGTAACAATGAACAGTCTTTGTATTCTCTTGTTTCTAATGCAGGGTCTGACTATTAAAAACTTTGTTAATTGGAGGAACTCACCAAAAGACTGAGTATTTACAGAGAAAGATAAATACCTACAGGTAATTGAGTATGCTTGCCATTAAAGAGAAGGAGCTTAAAAAGTCTCCTTAAAATATGAATGCTTTCCAAAGGCATCCCAAAGGCAAATACTTTCCTTACTCAAAAGCTCCTCTTAAAAAAATCTCCCCTTTAAAGTGCTGCAATAGCCATCTAAACTATTCTGACTCTTTGGGTCTCCTTTTTCATATACATCATGTTCATTGATGTCAGATTATATTCTCCAAACTATTTTTATTATACTACTCTGTTGCTCAATATCTTTAAATAATTATCTGCTATCTCCATTAAAATTTCTTAGCTTGTTCTTTAATGCTCTCCTCAATCTGTTTCCTCTTACTACTAGCTAGTATTGTTCTCAATCCCAATTCTAAGCCTTAACACTAGACAAACCCATCTAGAAAGTCTCCAAACCTGTCTTGAAAACCACCCCTTTGACCTGCAAATGTTTCCTTCTCATTTGTGCACCTAATTTTATACTATAAAATGCAACTACCTCCACCTTTTTGAATTATTCCATGTGTAAGGGTTACTTCGTCTATCACATCAACTCTTTATACTAGAGATTGTAAAGTGGTTTTGTTAAATCCATTGTTTAAAATGTTTAAGTAATTCTCAACATTTGAAAATCGTTGAAAAATTGGAAACACTAGTAGCACCCATACTTCAATAAATGGATGGTTTACCAGCAGCTGCTATCTTTAGATACGCGGCTGTTCAGTTTGAAAGTCATGGTTTCAATCTAAAAGTATTATTGACCATCTATTACTTGCCAGACAATGTTTTAGGAGCCGGACATACAACAATGGACAAAATTCATCGTGGGATTTATATTCTAAGGAGGGGAGACAGACAAAATAATTACATTTGGTATAGGGAATGTGTGGGAAGAGTTCTTGCACTTTTACATTTATTTAAATACTTGGCTGGATCCTATGGGAATTTGAGTTTATGACTCTTACTAATATCTGAATTGTCATATACTGTCACGTACGTTATACAATCTTCCTACAAAACTCTCAGCACACCGAAGGCAGGGACTGTGTCTCCTTCGTCTTTGGATTCCCAGGGCCAACCAGTGTTTTTTTATGGAGGAGACACGATGGAAAGCGAAAATTTGCAAGTCACCACAGCGCCACAGTTCCGCTCTTCCGGGTGGTTTATTCCGGCCGGGTTTGGTCTGGGTGCTGAGGAGCGTGCAACATTGCAAGAGTCGGAGAGCAGAGCCAGACCCTTTGCAGAATCTCAAAGCCACTTCCGTGTCGGCGGCTCCGTTTCCAGGGCAACGGGACTGTGACGTGAACGCAACCACGGGCCTACGGCCGCCAGGGACTAAACCAGCCTCCGAGAAACTAACTAAACTAGAGAGAAGGTGGCTGTTAGACCCAGGTGTCCATGGCGAAAAATCACGGGCGACCGCGCCCCCTGCCGCGCCGCCGGCTGCACTGCAGCTTCCTGACCTCCGGCGTCGCCTAGTTCCAGGCGCGACTACTTCCGGCCCCGAAGGTCCCCAGCTCCGTGTCTCGCCGGGGTCCTAGCGATGGAAAGGTGGCCGCAGCGGCCGCCTGACCCCTGCGGCGGTATGGGACGGGATCTGCCGCCTTCTCCTGGAGAGCAGCGGCGACAAAGGCGCTGGGAGGATGCCCGAGACCGGAGGGACCCTGTCTCGGAGGATGGGGGAACTGGGGGCGGAGGGCGGACTCGGAGGCGGCCTGTCAGGCGGAAGACGGGCAGAAGCAGTGGCGGAAGTGCAGGGACGGCAGCCGAAAAGGAGCCGTCTAGGAAGCCGCGGCCGCGGGTCACCCAGTGTGGAGCAGCTGGTGAGCTTCAGCCGGATCGCCGTGACTTGGGCCCGGGCGCCAGCGAGATGCCTCTGTTCACCGCCAACCCCTTCGAGCAAGACGTGGGTGAGTGCTGTGCCCAGCCCTGGTTCGTCCAGCTGGAAAGTGGGCAGTGGCGACTCCAGGACTGGGAAGCCAAGCAAAGGGAGGGAGGGGCGGGGCCGCCACCTAGTAGTCGTCGGGATTTTTCTGGGGGTAACCTCAGCGCGTTGCTACCAGTCTGAGTGCCTCCTGCCTGCCTGAAGCTGGGATCTCGAAAGGACCGTGCCTGTCGAGAAGCGTAGGAATAGGAAAGAGCCTGAGGCTCGCTGGAGACTGGACTAAGGAAGTAATTGTGGAGTTGAGGGTACAAACTTCCTGCTCTCTTTAGGAATGGTTAACCCCCGTCCCGCATCCCCTTTGAAGATGATACAGCAGTGGAGACCGCTGTCTAGGGCAGCCCAATACTGGAGATCTCGACTTACCCCAGTTGACTAGGAAGAATTTCTTCTTTCGTATATTACACACGCATTCAATCCCTATAGCGCAGCTTCAGGATTTGTTTGCAGTTGTGAAGGTGGTGTTGTTCTTTATCCTCAGATTGCAAGGATTGCACAAATGCTACGAGTTGTTCTGTTTTAGAGTATGAAAAGGAAAACTCTAGAATCTTGAAACGCTCCAGAACAACTAATAGTTTATTTGTTGGAGTTGTAACGAATGCTGGTCTCTCAGTGACTATAGAATGAGAAAAAGATGAACAAAGCTGTAAGACTTATTTTGGGAATTAAAGCAACTGTAAGCTGGCTAAGAATTTTTTTTTTTTTTTTGAGAGACTAGGTATCGCTGTGTTGTCCAGGCTGGACTCGGAACTCCTGGGCTTGAGCAATTCTCCTGCCTTACCTTCCCAAGTAGCTGGGACTACAGGGTTGTTTTTTGTTTGTTTGTTTTGGTAGTTAACAGAACTCTGGGTAGATTTTTAGGACTTAGAATGAAAGAAAAAAAAGCATGGCTGAAAATTGCCAATCACACAGAATACTGCACATTTTAGTAGTATGTCACGTTTTATAGCTAAAATTTTGTAATTATGAGGAGACTCCAGAAAGTGTCCTATTTTGGTATGTTCTGTAATTCCAAAACTATGTTCAAAAGTCAAATATACGTGAGTCAGATAATATACATGTAAAAATTTGTAATCATATCTTGACCCTTTGTCTTTAAATATATATTTTCATTATTTCATTCAGCTTTTTTCTTGGTAGATGATGAACATAGGTGACTGACATAAATCTAGGAAACATCACACTTCTGAAGCATGGTCTCTGCTTTTGGAACCTAATTGAAGTATGTCTTCCTTTGTGAGACCTGTACTTTTTATTGCCGTTGTGAAGACTTACTTTTTGTTCTAGTGAAATAAAACAGAAGGTGTAAAATAGAATAAGACAAATGATTTTAAAACCTAAAAACTCTGAATTGTTTCTTCAAGGTAAATCTTTCCTGGAAGTCCATTGTTCTTTAATTGAAAACTTCTCTGGTGGAAGTAGGCTGAGTTGCTCTGGCAGTTTTGTTCTCAGTGGCTCCTGAGGTCCCCCTGCAAGGTTTGGTGGATCACAGTTTTTTACTACAGTAGTGCTGTAGTTAAGGAGTCACTGCTGCTTAGACGAAACACACTGCTGTGTATAGATTATTTCATGGGCAGTGCTATCAACTAAAGCTTCAAGTACTTATTAGCTCAAGTATGACAGTTCAGTGTCCAAAAAGCAGTTTGAGGGTAAAAGAATGAGTTTGATTGAGGCCCTCCTGTAACAACTTCTAGACAAGTAATAGAATTAGAAAGTGTGGAATGAAATGCTAAGGAACTCAATTGGACTTAAATGTATATTGTAGAATATTATAGAAGCAAAATTATATGTTGCATTTTTCAGATCTTAAAGCTCCTTTTAATTTGAAATCATTATTACAAAACAAGTCATTATTTGGCTTGAGATCTATCTACAAGAATGTTCCTTTACAGTTTCATTGTCTTTTTCAGATGTTCTCCTTGATATGTATGTGTGTGTGTGTGTGTGTGATACTTTTTTTCACTATTCATTCAACAAACATGCATTGAATAATGACTGTATCTGGCATAGTATTAAGTTTTAGGGACACAAAAATGAGTAAGTAGACTGGGAGTTCCTGCCCCGAAGCAACTCTCAGTCTAATGGAGGACATACACACACATAGAAAGGTAATTGTAACATAGTGTGATAAATACAATGCTAGGAATATACGAGCAGCTTTACAGTCTCCCTTTATTTAAAACAGTCATCCTCCTTGAAGAGTAGACAAGGACATTTAGATAGGAGCTTTCTCTATAAAGAGGAAGGTGTTGACATTCTCCTGTCCCTCTGCCCTTTCTTGATAGCACTTCTCCCAGCAGGAAATAACCACCTTTTATTGTATGTATGATATGATCCTTTTATGATTAAGGGCCTTTATAGATGAATCTCCTTTGGTAGGTGCAGAGTCTCCCTGGAGGGTGAGCAGTTTTTCTGGCATCATTCACATGGGGAAGAAATTCTTTTCTCAGTCTCTGAGAAAAGCTGTGATGGGTTAAAGTGTCTAGGTATTCATGACTTGATAATGATATGAGACTTGTCAAATGGAAACAGGCCAAAGGTTAGGAAGTAAGGAACTCTGGCAAGTTTCTGTCTTTCCTTGGAGTCAGGAAAGCAAGCCCTGAAGGGTATGTTAGGTTTGGTAGCATTAGATCTCTTTAAACATTTTATTGGAATTCTTCAAATCTGGAGTCATTTTTTTTTTTTTTTTTGAGACAGAGTCTCGCTTTGTTGCCCAGGCTAGAGTGAGTGCCGTGGCGTCAGCCTAGCTCACAGCAACCTCAAACTCCTGGGCTCGAGTGATCCTTCTGCCTCAGCCTCCCGGGTAGCTGGGACTACAGGCATGCGCCACCATGCCCGGCTAATTTTTTATATATATATCAGTTGGCCAATTAATTTCTTTCTATTTATAGTAGAGACGGGGTCTCGCTCTTGCTCAGGCTGGTTTCGAACTCCTGACCTTGAGCAATCCGCCCGCCTCAGCCTCCCAAGAGCTAGGATTACAGGCGTGAGCCACAGCGCCCGGCCCATTTTTTGTTTTGTTTAATAAGATTTCCTTGAAGCTGTTCACAGGGGAAAAATAGAAAATATCTGCATGTATTACACCTCTCCCTTCCCACTGGGGCTCAAGTCTTAAAGGGGGTATAGAACTCCTGAGGTGGAGCCTGGTTGGGGTAGCCATTCCTAGCAATTCCAAGGGGAAAGTGAAACATGGAGCCAGAACCATGGGAGGAGGATTTAGTGGTTAGTATTAAAAGGGAAGATGCCATGTCCTTATTCATTGGTTCCCAAGTGATGACTTGTCTGTTCTAAGCCCTAACTCCGGTTCCTGTTTGCGTATCTTCTTTCCTCTTACTCAACCCAGGCAATCTTTCTTGCTAGTTTCTGCCTCTCTACTATTTACCATTCTTTGCTAAATGTTTGCTCTTTTCAACAACCTTGGTACCTCCTTCCTTAAAGACATATTTGTGCCCCACAAAGCTGGGCTCAAATTCTACCTCTACAAAACTCTTCTGACACAGCAGTTTGAAATATGAACTTTTAAGAGGATACTTTTCCCAGTGAAATCTGAATGTGTATAGACACATTATTCGCTATGTCATTGGTTTTTATTGTGTTACAAGAACTTGACCAGGGTTAGCCTGAGACTTTCATGCAATCTTTTTGTCCAATGAAATTTTATAAGAAACTCTAATATAAAGGTATATATTGATAGCATTACAGTAACACAAATTTATTTTATGTGTTCAAATTTATAACATTTACTTAAGTCAGTTTTTACACACAATGAGATCGTTATAATATTTGTAAAAAATTAAAATTAATCCTGGCTTATAGAAGACAAAATGAAAATAATTTTTTGGTTATGAGTGAGAATTGTAGCTTTAATAGCCAATTTTTTTCTGTGCCTTACTTTGCTTGCATGCTACCCAAAAGCCTAATACCTTAAGATAGTTGACGATTTTCAAAATGTAACGTAAATGACCATTTCTACCAGCCAATTTTGTCAAATACTATTATTTTGACATACTGATTTTTTTTTTAAAGACGAGAACATTCAAGATACGGTTGAGGCTGGGCGTGGTGGTTTGCACCTGCACTCTGGGAGGTCAAGGTGGGAGGATTGCTTTAGCTCAGGAGTTTGAGACCAGCCTGAGAGAGAGCAAGACCTTGTCTGTAAAAAAAAAAAAAATAGATACAGTTGAAATACTTGAATATTTTTAGCGGCTACCTGCTCCCATTCTTTTTCTTTCCTTCTCAGAGTTAAACACTTACCAAATAGAAACTCTATTTTATATATACTACACATACATATGTAGGTATTGTTTTGCATGTTTTTAACTCCATAAAAATAGTGTCTTTTTTGTCATTTTGCACCTTTTGTCATTCGGCATTTTTTTGTGAGAGCTATTCAGGTTGATGTTTGTAGCTCTAGTTCATTAATTTTAACAGCTATGTGATATTCCACTGTATGAATATACCACATTATCTATTCTCCTATTGGTGGACATGAAATTGTTTTCCAGTTTTTTGCTGTTACAGACAACTCTATATTGAAAGATCTTATCCATGTTTTCTTGTGTTTGTGAGTATGAGAGATTCTTGAGGGATTGTATCTTGAAGGGGAATTCCTCATTAGAAGTGTAGCTGCTTCCAAGTTGTAAAATATTAGATAGTGCAAAACTGCCCTTCCAAGTGTTTGTTGGAGATTTTCCTACCACCAGCAGTGTCAGTGAAGTTTCTGTTGTTTCACACCCTCACTGATGTTGGCTATGTCAGAGTTTTTAATTTCTATTTGATAGGTGTGAAGTAAGACGTTTTCATTTCATTTCAACATCATTGCTAGTGAAGTTGAGCATCTTTTCATATGTTTCTTGGTCATTCTGTTTTCTTTTTCTATAAATTAACTGCTCATTAGTTTATTACTCTGTTGGATTACTTTTTAAAATTGATTTTTAGAGTTCCATATACATTCTCTACTAATCTTTCATTGATTATGTGAATTGCAAATCTGTATTCTGGTTTGTTGCTTCATTTTACTTGTTTCTGATATCTTTTATTGTAAAGAAAAGTTAAGTTTTAATTTAGTGATATTTATGATTCCATCTTGATTTTATTTTTCTTGTTTAAGAAAGCTTCCTTTACCCTGAGGTTATAAGGATCTTGTCATATTTTCTTCTTTTTTTTTGAGACAGAGTCTCACTTTGTTACCCAGGCTAGAGTGAATGCCATGGTGTCAGCCTAGCTCACAGCAACCTCAAACTCCTGGGTTCAAGCGATCCTCCTGCCTCAGCCTCCTGAGAAGCTGGGACTACAGGCATGCGCCACCATGCCCAGCTAATTTTTTCTATATATATTAGTTGGCCAATTAATTTATTTCTATTTATAGTAGAGACGGTGTCTCGCTCTTGATCAGGTTGGTTTCGAACTCCTGAGCTCAAACAATCCGCCCACCTCGGCCTCCCAGAGAGCTAGGATTACAGGCGTGAGCCACCGTGCCTGGCTCATATTTTCTTCTGAATGTTTTATTAAAGTTTTGATTTTCACATTTAGGTCTTTGATCCACCAGGACTTGATCTTTGTGTACAGTGTGAGGAGGGATTTATTTGCATAATCACTTGATAGTAGACAATAATCAATTGTCTTATCACCCTTGATTGAATTGT